TGCATAGGGCCAATGTCTTTTTCGATTTCAGCATGAGCGTCTTTTGCCAAAAAATGGGTACTGTAAGGGACATTCCCTGTTTTGTTTTTAGCATATTGTAGGAATTCATTTTATCTCAAACGGATGGAGCTCATGGTCTCCTCGACATAGACTATGTCTGTCAGATGTTTTTTTTCAAACAATTTACAATCAATTTCGTAATCACCGTCTTTTGCTTGCAAACCTTTGAAACATAGACTTGTATGAATGACATATATTGCCGCCCGGGACTTCGAGTTCCAGGTAGATATTTCACCGGATACTTTTTTAGTTAATTGACGTTCTCCCAAGCTATGCCTACGCGTAGTACTGATTTTCTGATGTTTGATCCTCCAAAGCATATGCTCATCTATGTGAGGTAGCGTTAAGAATCTGTCGTCTGACAGGACATGTTTCCACCTCCCACCACCCATCCCCACGCGCTCTAGACTTTTTGTTTCTTTGAAAATCTCAAGTTTCAAGTCGAGGAGAAAGTGCACTGTCCAACAGTAAAGTTAATATTCTGTTTATGTTCTTTATTTCCTTTGCATTACCTTACCTATTTACCTTGCAGTACCATTACAGTGCATTACCATTACCTTGCAGTACCTTAGACTTCCATGACACATGCTACGACGAATCACCTTGTGCTTAGTGGAAGTTGGATACGCAGATTCGCAGTACAGAATTATACCAGAGTTCATGGGTTTGATAAAGAGCCCCGTTTCCAATGTTTTGCGGTTATTCCTCCTTCCCACCGTCACTAGTGTATCCAAATATGGGACCCGTTTCCGCTCCTGTATGCTACACCGTAGAGACCAAATTTAGTTCATAACTCATAACTCATAGTTCATAACTCAGTAGTTCATAACTCTAAGATTTCTTCAAAGACATGCTGTCCCTGCGTTCATACTCCAGCCCAGTCATCGATGTACCTAGCTAAGACAGTTGATTGAATGGGTTGGCGGCCAGGGCCTCCGTTTCAAATTGGTCTAAAACATCATTGCCAAAAGGAGGAACGCGTGGGCTCTTCACTACTATGCCAAATTTCTGACGATAGACGTCATCTCCGAACGGGGTAATATTGTTTTGGAGACATTGTTCTGAAAAGACTGCAAACATCCTGTTTTGATAAGCCGAAAACATCAATTTTATGGAATTCTTCGCCTACCGTACTTTCCCCGGTAGTGATATGTTCATTGACTGGCATATTGCCATATAAATTGACATCAACACTGAAGAAAATAATGCTCTTTGGTACACCTTCTGTCTCTGAGCGACTGAAAGCCTTTTACAAGCATCTGGTGTCCCACAGATGAGTGGAAACAAACCTCAAGAGTTGGTTTAGTATTTTCTCCTAAAGACACGGAGCATTTTCTGTGGCGCCACTGCACGGAGGCATGACAAGTCTAAGGGGCAGCGCAGGTTCGTGATCTTGAGGCAGTCTATGGGTTGCAGGCGTTCTACTGTTTCTAGGTGTTAGATCTTTAGTATCCTTCGCGACTTTAAGGTGGAGTGTTAGGAGAAGTAAAAAAGTCTAGAGCGCTTGGAGAGATGGTTGGTAGGAGGCGGGAGCACGTCATATCGGACGACATTCTTAACGCTACCTTACATAGATGAGCACTGTGCTTGGAAAATCAAAAATATCGTTAGAAAATCAAAACTGCGTGTACGCATAGCTTAGAAGAGTGATAGTAAGGCAAAAAGTATCTGGTAAGTCTACATCGAGGCCGTAAGTGCCCGGGTGGCAACAGATGCCATTTATGGAAGTCTGGGTTTCAACGGGTTTGCACGCCCAAAAAGTGATCTACGAAATAAGGTGTAAACTGTGTGAAAAACATGGGAGAGACATAGCCAATGTCGGGGAGTCCATGCCCCCTATTCTTTTGAGGTATAATGAACACCTGCGAAACGCTACAAACAAAACAGGGAATACCCCTTTCGGTAACTATTTTTTGGCAAAACACGCTCAGGCCAAAATGCAGGGAGGCATGGACCGTGTGTCACTTTAAGAACTTAATACCATCCACAGAACACACGACCACTCAGACAAGAACATAAGTGGATGTTGCCTCATAAAAAGTCGGCGACCAAGCCTTACGGTACAGGGCTCATCATGCCTGATTATGCGAGCGCGATATGAGCCTTAATGTGTGGTGCGCGCTAGCTTAAGATCGTTTATACCTATAAATGATTCCTGACGCGTGATGCGCGCTGCCCGTTTCAGCGGAATCGTTTTCATGGATAACTGATGCGTACTGTGTGATTTCTGTTGGCTTCAACTCGCTTGCATGTTCGAATGATGTGTGATGCGTGATGTCTGTTTACTTGAATTCGTTTGCATGGACACGTATTTTGTCGCATTCTAATTTTCGGTTAGATATGCACTGTATGGAAGTAATGGTTGGCAAACGCTCCTTGTTTAATGCCCTGAATGTTCGTGAGATGTAAAAACTGTGGCTCGATGTTAAAAACACTGACAAATCAAGTACGGTCATCGAAGACAATTCTGAACTAACTTATGCTATTCGTTTTGATGGAGGCATGTTGCTG